ATTTTCACAGCTTTATGAACTGCCCTCTTAGGGGAATGCTGCCTAGCTTCCCATGACTTCTGAAATATGGGTGCAAGCCTGTTTGAATCCAACACTACTGCTTTCTTTGAATGTTTGTCTGTGAATACAGCAGCAAAAACACAATACTGACATCTGCCAACAGTGTGAGCAGTAGCTGGGCTTTTTTTTATCAAGGCTGCAGAGACCTTCAAGTGCCTGAATGACTGAGCTGTGTGAATCCAATCCCATGGAACCAATTCCATAGGTGACACTTCTTGAGTGGTTTTCCCTGGGGCCTCTCTGCTCAAAGGAAGCCTTTCACTTCTGCAATTTGTAACCTGTGAGGCCAGGCAGGTCTTGCTGAATTCACATGTGCCCTGCAGCCATCTTATCTTCTGTTCTGGTAGGCAGCACTTGGCTTCTTTGTGATACTATGGTCTCAGCAACCAAGCTCTCTTTGGTTAAAATTCAGAGGCCCTACCATTGTGGCCGCATCTTTCTGTTGACACTCAAAAGTTGTGAAATCACCCTGCTATGCTATTTGTTGTTGATCCACAGTGTAGATCTGGCTAAAAACCCACAACACTATCCATGTCACAGCTTGACTGGTGGGCTAGCTTGAGATTTCCTCTGCCAGACTAATTTGTCCACTGCACTTAATCTCAGTCTCCCTCAAAGTGTCAGGACATTAGCAAAATGTAGACACTTTTCCTGCCAGAGACTAGCATACCTGGCCTTGATTCCAGCTGCCAAAGGAGTTCTTGCTCCCCACTGTAACTGCCTGAGCCTGGCCTTTACAATCTGCATTTGTCTCCACATTCGGGCCTGAGTGCCAACCAGAATCTCCCATCAAGCTCAGATCACAGCATTTTAGGCTTCTCCAGCTGGAATCTCCAAACCTTTCCAAAATCTTCCTGCAAAACTGTTCTAGAGGCTTCTAGGGCTGGAGGTTTAGCTCAGTGGCACAGTGCATACCTGGCAAGAGCGACATTGTGACTTCGATTCCTGGTATCGAAAAGAAACCAGAAAAAAAAAAATCACAAAGTTTTGGTCATATGGCTCAGTTGGAGGAATGGCTGCCCGGCACGTGCAAGGTCATATGTTTGATCCCCAGTACTGTGAAAAAAAGAAAATAGAGGCTTCTAAACACTGTCAGGTAGTCCCAGCAGTAATCCCACTCCTGGCACCAAAATCTCTTTCTTTTCCCATTGTCCAGACACAACTCCTGACACTCTGAAATCAAAGGAGGAGAAGTTTATTTTGGCTTACATTACAATGTGTGCTTGGCTGACTCCAAGGCAGAAAGGGTATAAGGGAAGGCCCTGGGCAGAGGAAACCTGTTCCCATTATGTTGGCCAGGAGGCAGAGGGGGAGTTGAGGAGCTGGGGAGAGAGATGTACCCTTACAGGTCACATGCCTAGTAACCTGTCCATCTCACCAGTTCCCACTTCCCATCAGCTAATTACCAATATTACCCCCATGAGGCAATCACCTTCCAAACCCTGCCTATAAAGCATGAGGACTTTGGGGGATAAGATTGATATAACTGGTCACAGTCACCTAGAACACTTCCTTCTCCCAGCTCTCTCCGGGGGACACTGTTGTTTCTTTTCACATCCAGCATAGCTCAGGGTCAGGAGATGTGAAGTGTGCCTCCCTAGTGAACTACCCCAACCCTCAATTTCCTCCTCCTTTCAAAAGAAGCTCTTCCCTCCAAGAGTCCTCTGCCCAGCTTCCTTCTTGGGCAAGGTCTGACACTTCACTGATGGCAGCTTCCCCTTAGTCATCTAGCTCTTCTCTCAAACCCAGCTCAGGGCTGACAACAGGCAGGACTTGGATCAAGAGGGCAAAACAGTAGTAGACGCCCATGCCAGGGCAAAATAGGGCCTCTTCAGATTCCCCTCCAGGGCTTCAAGGGACACTGTATCTCTAGGTGATGTGTGCAGATGGAGGAGCCCCCAGTGGTGAGCCCCTTGCAAGACTGTCCCAAGCTCCCCAGGCAATGAGGGTGTGTGTGCAGGTGATACCCTAAACTCACCCACCGTTCTGTCAGAGTGAAGCACCCTCATAGCGGGACAGCCAGAAGCAGGCAGTGGGGTGTATGTTCTTGCTTTCCTGGGAAGGGAGGGGTGGAGTGAGGGAGGAGACAGCAGCTCCCTTTGGCTTGTAACTCAGAGCTGCTGACTTGGCCTCTTGACAGTTGTAAAAGAGGTGCCAGGAAGGTGGGGAAGGGGGAGGCACCGGAGAACGTCTGCCCCTGACCAGACCCAATGTTGGAGTGTGGCTGAGGCTGGCGTGGTAGGGTATTGGTCCTATGCAGGACACCTACGCCAATTCTTGGCTGACCCACATCTTTGTCCCCTGCGCCTCTCCCACCCCCACGGGACTCCCCACCATTCTCAGTGCCTTACACAGAGGTGCTCGCCACAGGGTCTGAACTGCGTACTGCTACATCCCTGCAGCGCCTCTGCTCCCCCACGTCCTCAGGTTCCTGCACCGGGAGCCTCCTGTACCCCTTTCCACTCCACCCCTGCGGATGGCTCCCTTCGCCTCAGTGCTCCCTTTCTGGTGTTTTCCTGTTTTATATGTCGCCCTTGTTGGGAGCACATTTGGTTTATTAAGAAAAACACCTGACAGAGTGTCTTGGTTACTTTTCTCCAATTGCTGAGACAAAATACCCAACACCCAAAATGAAGGAAGGAAAGGTTTATCTAGCTTACAGTTTGTGGAGGTTTCAGTCCATACTTGGCTGGTTCCAAGGCAGAAGATAGCAAAGCAACAAGAGCAAAGGGGTGAATGGCAGCCGAATAGCAAGGCAGCCAGAGCAAAAGGGACGAATGGTGGCAAGCAGCTTCTTTCCCTGCCTTACTTTGTAAACAGGTGACCCCCACCTAAGAGGCATGTAGCTCTCACATAATCTCCATGCCCTCCTCTTCCACAGGCTCAGGATGTATACAAAGTAAGCACCCTGGCTTCCTGCTAAGTAACTTAGCCAAACCTCTAGGCTCTCCAAATTGACACAATGTATAAACCATAACTCGGAGAAAAGAAACCTGTCTTCAAGGATAGTCACCCAGCAACTGTCTTTAAAATCTCACTACTGTCACCTGCAAAGGAAGTAAGTCTCACCTGATGCGGAAACGACTTTTCTCCCCCTCCCCCTCCTGCCTCACAGGAAACTTCACTCACCTCATGACCAATCAATCCACTGTAGTCCACTGAAACCAAACCTTTCACCCCTCCTCCCAAGGTTTCCTCCCCAGTCCGCTCCTCCCAGGTCCTCAGCTCTCCTGACTGTGCTTCAGCTCATTTCCTCAGGGAGGCCAAACAGGTCAGTCAGACCTAATTCATATGAAGAACAGGGTGCCAGCGTCATCAAGACTGGCATTGCGACATTGATACACACAACCTTTTTCCATTACTTGAGAATGAACCCATGGCTTTCCCATTCAGCTGAATCCCTAGCCCTTTTATATATTTTATTTTGAGACAGGGTCTCACTCAACTGACATTCTTTTTCTTTCTTACTGTTGTGTCTTTTTGAGACAGGGTTTTGCTGTGCAGTTCAGGGTGTCCCTGAACACTCATTGTAGGCCAGGCGGGCGCTGAACTCATGATGATCCTCCTGCCTCAGCCTCCTGAATGCTGGAATGACAGACCTGCGCCACCACGCCTCACCTGACATTCTTACCTCAGTGAGTAAAATATGAGCTACTGCATACATGACACTGGCACTCAAGGAACCTTTGAGGGAATGACTGATATCACTTGTCACCCCAAATAAGTTCTCATTACATGAAAAATTTAAAGTACTACCCTATTCTGTCAGTAAATGCTTTTAATGATTTTGTACTGGATAGCAGTTTCCATAGGCCGCAGAGTCCATCCTGAAGAAATGTATTAAATGTACTTAAAGTGGAAGATCCTCAGAATAATTCTAAAAAAAGTAAAAAGCAAAGCTGGCTGGGATTGAATGAAGAAGGGCTGTCTCATGCATCTGCCGGAGAGCAGCCATCATACAACTTTGCAGAAACACAACCTTGCACAAAGGCCACCACAACCTGATTGAAGAAAGAAACGTTTCTTCAAGGACATTCACCTAGCAATGTGTCTATAATCTAATCCTCCTCATTTTCACCTTGAAACTCTTCCCCTTGATTCAGCCTCCTCATCTGTGCTCACAGTTACTTAAGGCATGCGTATTCCCATTCCAAGTTTGTTCTCTCCCCCAGATAAACGCCAAGATACTTTCAAGAATCTCTTGTTCTGGTTGCTGTTTGGGTAAACGTTTGTAAAGCTCTTCAAGATGAGTGAATTGGAACCATGAGCAGGGAGCAGGAAGCAGTCTGGGCGGGGTGGGGGCGGTGAGCAGACTTGGCAGGGGACTGCGGGCTCTCCAGGGGAGGAAGCAGACCCTCCTCTCACCCCAGCAAAGGTGGCCCCTCTCCCCAGCTCCCCATGGCCCTGGACAGAGCACCACTTATCATCACCCTCCCATTGAACATCAGCCAAGGAAATGGCCAGGAGAGGGCTCC